AGGACCCGCACCAGGGCGCCGGGGTCAACGCGTTGCACCTCTACCTGTGGCTCTTCCTGCTTGGCTTCCCTTTCACGTTGTACATGGTGAGTGAGGGAGCCGGCCTGACACATCCCCACCAGGAGAGGAGGAGGGGAAGGGGCTTTTTGGGCTTCCGTCTCGCGTTCGGGTTGGGGGCTACCGCCTTTGCCACGTGAGGAGGAGTTTTCCCAGTCAGGCTGGGCTGGGGAGCCGCCTTGAGACCATCGCCCCCGCTCTCCCGCTGCTGTTTTTACTGTATTTTGGAGGCGGAGGGCGATGCAGTCGGCGAAGGGGCCATTGCCTCCTTGTTCAGGTTAAACGCTGAGATAAGCTGGTCTGCGGAAAAAAATAATAAAATTGAAAAAGAAGTCCAAAGCCAACCCCGGCTACTTAAAAACCCAAACTGAAAAGGTCGCGGTGGTGTGACCTCTGTCCTGTCGATTGAAGTGGCTCCGTGGCTTTTTTGGCCTCCTCACACATTGTGGATTTTTTTCCACAGGAAATGCTTTGTGTGGAAACCAGTGTTCCTGCTGCATGTAAAGCCGAATGGGTGGCAGTCTTACACGTGGGGTGTTTTGCTGAGTGTCTGTGCCCTCCGAATCCAGGATTGGCTGCAGCTTGTCAACATGTACGATTGCTGAGCGTGTAGTAGTGAAGGACCATGGATAAATAACCAGGGGTTACAGGACTCAGTCCTAGAAGTACAGAAACAACAGCTGAGGAGGGAAGGAAGTGTTGGTGCTAATGTTGCACAATTGGTTATGCATCCCTGTCTGTAGTGGGATAAGTAATGCTCTGTTTTTTGAGTAGAAATCCTGCAGTTGGAGGTGTCATTAAATACTCATTGGATGCTCTTCCTAGTGCTCCTTTTATTTTTATTGGTATTGATGTATATTGTTAATTTAAATTGATAACTATTGTCTTGACTCAGGGAAATGACAGAAGTCCCTGAAGTTATAGATATAAACAAAGAGAAGCCATGTTAGGATGTCTTTATATGTACTTTTTAAATGTACATATTTGAGGTCTGTTTGAATTAGTTACGTGTTTCTTTGAAAACTTAAAGGAAGTCTTTTGTGCGTGTGTGTACCAATATGGAAAACATGTACTGTGGAAGAGGTGAAAGACACTATGTAAAACTTTGATAGACTACAGCATATATTTCTAGTATGTTTTAAGCCACATACATTTGTATGTTGTGAATTAATAAATGAGCTGATGAAGAGAGACAGTGGGATTTTTCTCTTGCTTATAGACAGATAAAATTATTGTAACTTAAATCCAGTCAGGTTATGGGAAAGCTATGAAATAATTCTTAGAATCACTTAGATTTTTTTTCTTATGCATTTACTGTAATATCACTGATATTCTTCAGCTACTGAAGACTAGATGTTGGTAGTAGTGGCATATACACAAATATTTTTGATAATTTGATTTCAGGAATCAATGATTAGCTGAAGAGTTATGGAACAGAATTGGGAAATGAACATGCTAGATACGATTGCTGTCTCATTCCCCTTATCAAATTCACTTCTAGTGTAAGGGAAACTATTTTTTTGTGTGTGTGTGAGTATGGTGTTGCCATGACAACCAGACATTATTGCGCTTTATTCTTGCAAATTCTAGTAAACATAAAATACTTGGGAAAAGCTGACTTGTGAAAGATTTATGTTGTTCATCAAATAAGACTCTAGAGAGAATTGTGCATGAGCTTGCAACTAGAAGAGTAAAAACCACTGGTGTGCTACACAAACAGCTTACAGTACTCTCTCGAAATCTCTTCCTCTGCAATCTTTCTGCTTTGGGTGGGGGGAGAAAAAAAGCAAGCGATTTCTGTATGCCTACAGAATGTCTCTCCTTTGCCTGACACTTTCCTGCTGCCAGTGTGATTGCATTGCTTTCGATGTGTAGAAGAGCAAACAGCTTGCTCTCCTAAAATCCCTCTCCATCTCTCCGCTCTGTGGGGGGTAGGGGGGGAAGGGTCTGGCAAAAGAGAGATTGCCTACAGAAATTGCTTGCTTTTTTCCTCCCCCCCACTCTCAGAGTGAAGAGATTAGAGAAGGGATTTCAAGAGAGTACTGTAAACTGTTTGCATAGTTGCCAGTGTGATCTCATTGCTTTCAATGTGTACAAGACAGTAAGTAGATACTCTAGCATTCCAAAGGGCAGATGAGTGGTTAGGAGGCAAACAAAAGCCAAAAGCATGAAACTGACTAATCTTGTCTCTTTCTAGCCAGAAAGCACAGTCGCAGTCATGTGATTTCCCACTTAGTGACTGCTTCGCTTAGTAGTGGAGTTGCCAGTCCCAGTTATAGTCTTAAGTGAGGACTACCTGTAGTAGTCATGATTTCAGCCTTTTACTTTAAGGAATCATATAATAATATATATAACAAAATTGGGCAAAATTTTCCATCAAATGAAAAAGCATCTTCTCTTACAAACTCACTGTTTATTTAATTCAGGCAAACTATTCTTTATATCACGTTGGACAAGTGATGCAGTGAAACTTTTGACTCAGCATCTGAAGGTGATTAGGGTCTGGATAGAGAGGAACATATTTACGCTGAACACTAGCAATACCAAATGGCTGAGGTTATGAAGTCCTTCTCAGTCCAGAGATGGTCCATGCATAGGATGGGGTTATGTTCCTCATACATAGCTGGTTTGTAATCTGGTGGTTCTCTTGGATTCTTGGCTCCTGCTTGAGCAGCAGGTGGAGACCATGGCCAGGAGACCCTTTGTACAAATACATTTTGTGCGTCAGTTGTGGTTTTCCTTGGATTAGAAGGCATTGCACATGGTCACTAATGCCCTTATCATCCCACAGTAAACTGTTCCAACTCCTTTCAAATAGAGCTGCCTTGAGTACTATCCAGAAGCTTAAACTAGTTCAATATGCAGGAGTCTAGGTAGCAATGGATGCACCTATACTTGCCCACATAACACCTCTACTCTAGGAACTGTATTGGTAGCCACTCAGTTTCCAGTAGAATTCAAGTTGCTGGTTATTACCTTTAAAGCCCTGTATGGCTCGGCTGGGTTATCTTCAAGACCATCTGCTCCAAAATGAATCTGTTGTTGTTGTTTAGTCGTTAAGTCGTGTCCGACTCTTCGTGACCCCATGAACCATATTGCGCCAGGCCTTCCAATCCACTAAAATCAGGGAAGGAAGTTCTGCTAAGGGTCCTGTCCTCAAAGAAGTATTATCTGTTGGACACCATAGTGAGGTCTTCCTAATGTTGGCTCCCCTCCCATGGAACAGCTTACTCCCATATATATAGACTACTACTTGCCTGATGAATTTTTGCAGGGATGTGAAAAATACTGTCTCTCTAGTTCTGAGAGACAGTATTTGGGCTCTCATTATGTTAAGTTTGGGCTACCATTATGCTTGTTATTGTGATTATTTTTTGCTGTTTTTCATATTTCCTTACTTTGTATACTGCTCAGAGCTGTACATGTATACAGAAATCAGTAACAAGCATGTGAATGGGATATGCAAACTACATTATCTTCCCTTATCAAAACTTGTACTTAAAATACTAGCCAAACAGCTATTTATTTTATTTGTTAAATTTATCTCCACCCATCTCCCTCTAATGGGGGACTCTGGGAGGCTCACAAAATCCATTAAAACAATAAATATATAAAACATAAAGCTATACAAAACATTACCAAACATGAAAAAGTCCAAGAGGCTGATGGTTACCAGAGGTGCAGACGACAGGCCTGTTAAGGGGCTAGCCATCCCCACACTTGGTGACTTCTCTCCCCACCCCACCCCAGACCAGGTGGCAGAGCCAGGTCTTCAGATCTCTCCGGAAGGCCAGGAGTGAAGGGGCCAATCTCAACTCTGGGGGCATGATATTCCAAAGGGTGGGGGCTACAGCAGAGAAGGCCTGCTATTTTACAGCTGAGGCTTACATGTAGGATATGGAATTATGAAGTCTGTTCTGTTAGGTGAAAAGCATAAAAGACAATAAAATTGAATAACTGTTCAGAACTATGGCTTCTGTCTTAGGATAGTGATCTCTCTCTCTCTCTCTCTCTTCGTAATATTTGTTTGCTACTAATACAAAAGCAAGAAGATTTATTATAAATAGATCTTCAGGGAAGGAAATAATAAATGGATAGGCTTGGATTAACATGTTTTAATACTGTACTGAGTATAGGTTGGTTAGTCACACTCAAATCACAATTGACTCTTTATGGATTGCACATTTTGCCATGTGTGTATGGTCTATATACCAAATAGTGTTGTGGTCATTCTATTCTTTACTTTCAAAGTACTGTTTACTCCAAGCATTCCGGCTTTGGGCCAGTGTAACAATTACACAACAGCAATATTTATTTAAAATCTGGGAAAAGGGAATATTTTAGGATGTGACTTCTGACTCTGTACAAGAGTGATTAATTTCAAAATTATCAACTGAATGTAATATTTAATTCAAATATTAGGCATCAGCCTTTGCAGGTCTATATTATGGCATACAGTACATTTGGACTGATGAATGTAGGTTACCTACAACCTGGGGCCAAAGCTTGGCTATAGAACTCTTTCACTCTATCAGATAGTGTGAATTTTGTTTGTTTTTGTAGAGAAATCCTGTAATTTACTAATTGAGTTACAAAATGGATAAGGCTACCTATTGAGCATAAAGTTTGTCTATTTTGACTGATATACAGTGGGGCAAAAAAGTATTTAGTCAGCCACCAATTGTGCAAGTTCTCCAAACACAACGAGTTGAGTTTAGACCAAAACGTTCTACTTTGGTTTCATCTGACCATATGACATTCTCCCAATCCTCTTCTGGATCATCCAAATGCTCTCTAGAAGCAAGATGTCTGGCTCTCACAGACCTGTAACTACTTCTTTAAGAGGCTCCTCTGTCCTCCACTAAGCAAGATGTCTGGCTCTCACAGACCTGTAACTACTTCTTTAAGAGGCTCCTCTGTCCTCCACTAAGCAAGATGTCTGGCTCTCACAGACCTGTAACTACTTCTTTAAGAGGCTCCTCTGTCCTCCACTAAGCAAGATGTCTGGCTCTCACAGACCTGTAACTAC